TTCGAAAGTCCGGAGACTGAACTACCCAAACACTGAAACCCTGAGCCTCAAAGCTTGCACCCTTAACAACTGGACCTAAGCAACTTGGAGGCTTCTTCCAGGAAAGCTTGGCAGCGCTACGCCAACAGGGGGAGAGAGTCGATGATCAGGCACCTCTGTGTGAGGAAATGCATCCTTTTGCAACGATGGGGGGACTACCTTCGGGCTTTTGAAAGGGGTTCCCGGCACGTTACAAAGAGAGCACGCATAGGGATAACGCTCAGACCTTAATTTTAAGCGTTGCTTTTTTGTAGAGGTCGGTTCAGCGGCATGATAGGGCTTCCTGTCAGGTTCGTTATGCCGACCATGCAGGCCTTGGCCAGCACCGATAAGCCGAGGCCCGGGTTGAGGGTTAAGGGATTAGGCTGAGCTAGAGTCTAAACGCCTTAAGGGTCTATATGATATGGGGTATTGCTATAGGGGAGCAATATAGGCGTCACCAAGGGGATCCTAGGAGTCTAGACTGGTTTAGACTATAGCTCAATGGAGAAAGGAATTGAAACTACTGTATGTTGCTTCGGGATAAGTGTTTAGGTTTCAAGGCTGATGGGGCTTAGGGGTCAAGAGCTGTGCGTAGGCCGTGGAAGATGATGTTGGGATTGTAAAGGCGATGTGTCCGTCCATTTTCCCAGATGGGGCCTTAAAGCCTTACAGGAGTGCTCTATGAACAGCGAGGTGCCACCGATCATTCCCAAACCTCGGATTTTCATGGTCAGGTTTGACGGCCGAAATCACCTCAACATTTGGATCTTCAGAGGCGCCAAGACATTTTATGTCCTATGATGATAGCCCCAAGATGTAAGTATGAAAGCGTGGAGTCTCGTGTTTGTTTAGCTACCCCCTCCCCAATCAATCCGGGCAATCTCGCAGAAAGATGAACTTCCTCAAGCCAGGAAAGCCCGGTCTAAAGCTTGAACCCCGAACTCTGAGCTGCAATGAGAATGACGTTATGTATCAAACTCTGAAGCCCCAAACTTAAGCCTCCGAAACGTATTGAGACAAAAGCGTTAAGGCCTATTGTCAACCTTAAGTTTGCTATTGGCAATTCCTGCCAGGGCGCTACAGCTTCTTGACCAGGCTTGCCGTTTCTTCGGGTTCATGAGGGGGTTTCCCAAAATCAGGGGTACCATTTTGGGGGTCCCAATGATAAGGACTATAGTATTTTGGGGTCTATATTGGGGTTCCCTTTTTTTAGGGAAATTACCATGAAGGGTAGAACTCTGGTTTTGCGTTGAGATTAGGTCGTGTGGTTCAGGGATTCTTGCCTGGGGCTGGGGATCGGGTTCCGATATTGACGGCGAAAGGTGTTTAGGCATCGGAGTCGCTGGGCTTTAGGGTTTCTGTGCTCCAGCAGTGGTGGAATGATTTGTATTCTTTATGAGCTATAGTCTGAACTCCACATATCTCCCTTAATAACCCCTATAGTAGTCGTCTATAGTAATCCCCTATATAACCCCTTTAATGAGTCTAGACTTTAGCTCTTTTGTATACATAGGTAGAATGGACTGTTTGGCATCCCTCGAGCCTGAACCCTACCTGAGCCGTATACACCCTTAACATCCCCAAACTCTTTAGGGCTCAGGGCGTAGGGTTTTTAGGTTTTAGGGCCTAACACCGACATGAAACCCCACCCACCTGACGTGAGAGGTGGAGTTTCGGAAGTTTCAGGAGCGAAGGCATGGAGAACATCAGCTGTACAATCAGGAGTGCGGGGGTCTAGAGATGTCTAGGGTTTAGGGATTTCAGGGTTCAGAGGGTTCAGAGTTTTTGAGGGTTTGTGGGTGTGAGGGTGCAGGGTGTACAAGCATTGCATCCGACAGCAAAGGGCCACGATGCTGTCTTTTGAAAGTGGTATGGGCTCGTCACCTACATGATGAAGATCCCCTGAAGCCTTCTTTTCCCTCCCTGAACCCTTCCTTGTGCGTACCACACACGGCGGTGCCATGCTGCAGGACTTACAAGACGGGCAAGAGGACCGGCGGCTTGGGGGGGGGGCCAGGGGATAAGGCCGAGACTTGCTTGAGCGGGGGAGAGTAAGGTAGACGCATGAACACTTGCCAGCATTTTCCTTTATGATGCTTACATAGATGATTCTTGTGGAACATACCACTTACCCTTGCTCCGATTAGTCAGTCGTCAACATTACGTGAGGCGGGGCTTTGTTCTAAATCAGATTTGCTGTCCCCACTTGGAGTGTGGCCGCAAGTACGTTCCTAACATAGCCGCTTCTAAAGGGATGGTGCATCTCACAAGCAAGCATTAGGATGTGAGTGGTGCTTAGGGGAAGGAGTAAAGGGATTGTAGGGTGGTAGTAGGTCTTTTTTTGGAAGGCGTGTGGGGACCACTCTGGAATCCTTTCCCTTATTCCCCCCCATCTCAGCGGAAGGAAGATGAGGACGAGCTCAGTCATGCCGGTAGTGAGGAGGCCAGCATGCTCAGCGAGTTTGCCGATGATGCTCATGGAGAGGGGGGGGATTGTAGGAGAGAAGTCGTGCGAGGACTATTCCAACATCCGTTAAGCCGTTCCCTTCAGCGCAACAAGCAATGGGGTCGGTCCCTTCCCAGCTGAAGGAAGACGAGGACGAGCTCAGTCATGTCCATGGTGAGGAGGCCAGCATGCGCAGCCAGTTTTCCAATGATGCTCATGGAGAGGGGGCAGGGATTGTAGGCGAGAAGTCGTGTTAGGACTATTCCAACATCCGTTAAGCCACTCCCTTCAGCGCAACAAGCAATGGGGTTCGTCCCTTCCCAGCTGAAGGAAGACGAGGACGAGCTCAGTCATGTCGGTGGTGAGGAGGCCAGCATGCGCAGCCAGTTTGCCGATGATGTTTACGGAGAGGGGGCAGGGATTGTAGCGCAGCACAGTGCAACAAGCAATAGAGGGCCAGATTGCGGACACAGGGCGGTCTCCTCTGAGCTACAGGAAGATGAGGACAAGCTCGCCCATGCTGACGGTGAAGAGGACAGCATCCTCAGCTGCGGGTTGGAATTCATGGAGACTGCTGCAGGGTCCGTTCCCTCAGAAATTATTCCCCCGAATGCAGTGCCAGATGGTGCATAGGGGGGTCGGTCTGTCCTCCGTGAGGAAGATGAGGATGAGCACAGCGATGATGATGAGGAGGAAGACAAAATGCTCAACAAGCCTGCCGATGATGACTCCACGGAAGTCGCGGAGGTAGCCCCCATGTACCTGCAGGTGGGAGGGCATGCATGGCTGGGGAATGTGAAAGAGACAAGGGTATCTGTATAAGTAGTGGGTCATGTTGGGAAGAAAAAAATTACAACCCTAGTTCGAGCCACTTATACCCCCATCCAAACTCCGCCATTAATATCCCCTCATCATCTTGATCTCCATCTGACCTTGCCTACTGTAAATTACCCAGAGGCCTCAAGTATTGGGATTGGGGTTTGGGGTTGAGGGTTGGGGCTTGCGGATGGCTGCCACAGGAGCGCGAATGTCGTACATCTTCTGACAGAATTACATGAATCGCTTCTTTCTCCTCCTTACTCGGCCTAAACTCGAAGCCTTTTCGTTGTCCTACTTTTGGGCATAAGAAAGACAGATGCAGCAACCTAAATCAGATAAGCAAAGTCCGAAGCCTCAAACACATACTGACCCCTAGCCTCTGAGCCCTGAGCGCCCAAGGCCCAAATCCCTCTCCACGAAACCGTGACCCCTTAACCCGTTTGTTTTGGAAACTCCAACGTCGTGGGCGTCCTTGCAGGCCATAACGCCTACAAGCCATGAAATAGCCACTTTTCCTGTTTTGAAGGTGTCCGAGGGCGACGAGCTCGAGTCCGAGTCCGAATTGGAAAGTGGAATTGTCCAAATAGGGTTCCCAGAAATAAGACGGCCTGTGTTAAAGGTCCAGATATTCAGGATCATAGCAGTTCAGGTTGTAAGGTTGAAGGGTTGCAGCTGTAGGGACTTTCTTTACGCCAATCCTGAACCTGGGCCTTAAGCTCAGCCCAACGATCTGTTGTAGGTGGCCGCAGGCGCCGCCGCAGGCGACGCCGTCGCAGAAGGATACCCCATGGGTGGCCACGGGAGGGTCTGCTATCTCAAAAGTTGTGCTCCAGATGCTCCAAAGCCTGATCCGCATCATGGGGTCTCCCAAAAAAGGGACCTTTAAATCTTGGAAACCGACATGACTATATGATGAGACCCCGAACCTCTTGACAGAAGACCTCGCAGGCGATTTGTGTTCCCCACGCTCTAATCCCCTTCAAGCTGCCTTCTGGTGCAGGAGAAGGAGAAGAAGGAGAAGAAGGAGAAGAAGAAGAAGGTGGGTCGGGGGCAGAAGGCGTCGAAGACGTCGCAGGCACCGTGCCTGCCAAAACATGGTGTCCGAGAAAGACTGTTCAGGAATTTCCAACATAATCCCAATGTAGTCGTGACGTTCCTACGTACTTGTAAGCTTAAGAGGGGACTGAAGGAGTGGAGTCTCCTTCTATAATTCCATAGTGATGATCCTGCTACTTTCTCCCCAGCTCCCTTTCAGCAGCATTCGGTTACTGGGAAATTCTCCTTGAGTATGATCTTTGCTAGTCTAGGGTCCCTAGAGGATCTTCCTCCAGCTTGCTTTCGAAGCGCGTCAAACCCATAGCCCTAAACACTAAAGCCTGAAACCCAGCCCCCTAGACGGGAAAAGGTGCCGCAGAAGAGTAAGCCGTAAAGCCCAGCAGTGTTCCAGGCTAAATCCTAAACCCTAAACCCCTCCTTCTCTGCGTGCGGAGAAAGGGTGTTGCAAAAAAAAAAACCAGGAGGCTTATCGATGTGGGCGCAGTTGTCGGGGACGTGGTGCAGTTCATGTCCCAAGGCCTGGGTTTGCCTGACAAGTTGTTGGTTCCGTTTCATGTAGAGTGACGGTCTATAGTGATTCTGGCTTCGGGTTGCAGGGCTTAGAGTCTATGCAGGGTTTAGGGTGTAGAGTTGGAGTGGGCTTCAAGGTGGGGGTACAGGATTTCAGGCTTGCTGCAATTTCAGCACACGTTTTAGCACATGGTGCAAAGTTGTATCCCAGCCATGGATGACTATGGGGCGTTGATCCCGGGAGGCCTTACTAGTGGTACTGGTGCGGCATGAAGGAAGAGCTTATCAGGGAGAAGATGCTCGTAGGGACTGGAGGGCTCCCTTCCTCCGTTTCTTGCTTGCCCCTATTCGGGTTTTGATTGGATGGGGTTCTGAGAGGATCTTCAGGCTTCAGGTTCAGAACCTTGAGTTTCGAGTCTCGGTTGTGGGGTTTGCTTCGGAAGGTCTCGCGTGTATTGGCACCGCTGCAGAGTTCACATCTACCGGCGACTGGGCTTTGCTTTTCTAGTTTAGGGCTCGGGTTCCGTGCTCAGCCGTTAACCTGAAGCCCTGAACCTCCCTAAGCCCTTCAGGACTTAAGGATTCAGGAATCTGGGTTGAGGGTCTCGTTAGAGTTCAGCTTGCGTGGGAGTAGGGAATGAAACAGGGATTTGTAGGGAGCCTGATGCTGTAGGTGTGAAAAAGGGATCCATTCCTGGATTCCCTGCTCACCA